GTTCACCCCTGCTAGTAAGCGAGTGACGCACTGCACGGAGGCTAGCACGGATCGTCACCTGGCTACGTTTACACATCAGCCAGGGTCGAGCCTGTACACACTGACCACTGCTTCTCCTCCAGGTGCTGAGTCTGGTAGAGTCCCTTCGTCTGGTCAGGTGTTTGCTGCAGCGTCCAGGTCTGGTCCTGAGTCTGCCCCCTGTTCGTGTCGCCGTCTGTCTCACGAGACCCTCCTCTGGCACCACCGCCTTGGCCACCCCTCTCTGCTTCGGCTCAGAGGCATGGCCTCCCGTCTTCTTGTGTCCGGTCTCCCCCGGTCTCTACCTCCCCTTCCTCAGGGCCCTGGCCCTGCCTGTGTCCCCTGTGTCGAGGGGCGCTAGCGTGCTGCCCCTCACTCCTCCCAGTTTCCTCCGACAGAGGCTCCGTTGCAGACGCTTCACATGGACGTGTGGGGCCCTGCCCGCGTCCGTGGACTCGGTCACGAGCGCTACTTCCTGCTGGTGGTTGACGACTACTCGCGTTACACCACAGTCTTCCCCTTGCGCAGCAAGGGTGATGTCACTGAGGTGCTGATTGACTGGATCCGCGCAGCTCGTCTCCAGCTCAGGCAGAGCTTTGGCTCGGACTTTCCTGTGTTGCGTCCGCACTCGGACAGAGGCGGAGAGTTCTCCTCTGGCCTTCTGCGTGCCTACTGTCGTGCGCGAGGCATCCGCCAGACCTTCACGCTTCCGGACTCCCCGCAGCAAAATGGGATTGCAGAGCGCCGCATTGGCATGGTCATGGACGTCGCTCGTACGTCCATGATGCATGCGGCTGCCCCCCATTTTCTGTGGCCGTTTGCGGTCAGGTACGCAGCGCATCAGATCAACCTCCACCCCAGGGTCTCCAGGCCGGAGACCTCCCTAGCGCTGCTGTGGACGGGGAAGGTTGGCGATGCGTCCGCGTTCCGGGTCTGGGGATCTCGGGCGTTTGTCCGCGACTTGTCTACGGACAAGCTGTCCCCTCGCGCTGCTCCCTGCGTCTTCCTGGGGTTCCCCCCCGACGCCCCTGGGTGGCAGTTCTACCACCCCACCTCTCGACGTGTTCTGTCCTCCCACGACGTCACGTTCGACGAGTCGGTACCCTACTACCGCCTCTTCCCCTACCGCACTCCGTCCCTCCCCCCGCCCCCGCTCTTCTTGGTACCAGGTCCCCCCCCGGTAGACCCCCTCCCCCCTCAGGGTCCTGCCCCTTCAGGTGTGTCCCAGGTAGACGCGGTCGAGCCTGTCGAGGTCACTGGTGACTCTGGTGCGGCTGCGGGAGCTGAGCCTGGGGGTGCTGAGACTGGAGGTGCTACGCCTGCGGGTGCTGAGCCTGTGGGTGCGGAGTCTGGAGGTGCTGAGCCTGGGGGTGCTGTGCCTGGGGGTGCTGAGCCTGGGGGTGCTGAGCCTGGGGGTGCTGAGCGTGGGGGTGCTGAGCTTGGGGGTGCTGTGCCTGGGGGTGCTGAGCCTGGGGGTGCTGAGCCTGGGGGTGCTGAGCCTGGGGGTGCTGAGCCTGGGGGTGCTGAGCCTGGGGGTGCTCCGCCTGGAGGTGCTTCGTCTCGCCGAGAGCCACTCTCCCCTCAGGAGCTACGTGAGTGGTTTGCCAGGCGCTGGAGGCGTGCTGCTGGTGCTGGAGGTTCTTTGGCTGCAGAGGGTACTGCTGCCGAGCGTCCCGGCGGTGCTCGTACTGTGGGTGCTGGAGCTGCTGGGTCTGAGGGTTCTCCTGGAGCTGGTGCTGCTGAGGGTGTTGGCGCTGAGACTGCCGCTGAAGGTCCGACTGGCGGTGCTCCTGGTGGTGCTGCTGGAGGTTCTGGAGCTGCTGGAGGTGCTGCTGGAGCGGGTACTCCTGCTGGGGGTACTGGTGCTGTCCCTGCTGTTTCTGGCGTCGCCGCGCGGCCCCGGCCGTACTTCGTTCCGCTCCTGCAGCAGGTTCTTTGTCTTACACCTTCTCCTGGTCCTCCTCCTCCTCCCTTAGAGGGTCCACAGCCTGTCTCGTCACAGTCACAACTACAGCCTGCCTCACCTTTGCCTGCTCCTTCTCCCTACGCTGGTCCGACTGGAGGTCTTACTGAGCGTCGTGAGCCTGCGTCTCGTCCTGCGTCGCCTGTTCGTACTCTGCGCGCTAGTGGTCGCGGTTCGCGTCAGCGTCCTCCTCCTGTCCCTGGCACGCACCGGATGTCTCTGTGTCCGTCTACTGCTCCTCTGCGTGCCCCTTTGCCTTCTCCTCCTGCTTCCTCTCTTCCTGCTCTTGCCGACCCGGAGTCGGACTCTCTTCGTGCTGCCAGTCCTACTGTCACGCGTCTCCTTGCTACTGTCGTCACTGACCCTTCTTTCGAGTCTTCTGCTGCGTCTGCCCTTGTCACTGAGCTCATCGACTTTGCTGCGCGCTGTCGTCTAGACTACGCTGCTAGTCTTGTCGCTGAGTCTGAGTCTGCCTGTCCTCTGTCCGTCGGGGGTGAGTGTGCCCTTGGCACGGACGTCCTTGAGGACAGGCAGGAGGAGTTCCAGTGTCTGGCCGCCGCTTCACCTCATCTCGCGTCTGTACTGCTAGCCCTTGAGGGAGACCCGGATGCACTAGACATCCCGACTCCGCGCTCTTACGCGGAGGCGATAGAGGGTCCCTACTCCTCTCAGTGGCAGGCAGCTATGGATGCAGAGATGGCTTCCTGGAAGTCCACAGGCACCTACGTCGACGCTGTTCCCCCTCCTGGGGCGAACATCGTCAGTGGCATGTGGATTTTCAGGGTGAAGCGGCCGCCGGGTTCTCCGCCTGTCTTCAAGGCGCGTTACGTGGCTCGTGGCTTCAGTCAGCGGCAGGGGGTTGACTACTTTCAGACCTTCTCCCCCACCCCGAAGATGACCACTCTTCGGGTACTGCTGCACGTTGCTGCTCACCGTGACTACGAGCTGCACTCTCTCAACTTCAGCACAGCTTTCTTGCAAGGCAGCCTGCACGAGGAGATCTGGCTGCGTCGCCCACCTGGCTTCACTGGGTCTTTCCCTCTTGGTACCCAGTGGAGTCTCCGACGTCCAGTCTACGGTCTCCGCCAGGCGCCACGTGAGTGGCACGACACACTGAGGACTACGCTGGCGGCACTTGGGTTTGCTCCTTCTACTGCCGACCCGTCGCTGTTTCTGCGCACCGACACCTCTCTGCCGCCGTTCTACATCCTCGTGTACGTCGACGACTTGGTCTTTGCCACTGCTGACACTGCTGGACTCGCCTACGTGAAGTCCGAGCTGCAGAAGAGACACACATGCACTGACCTGGGTGAACTGCGCAGCTACCTTGGCTTGAAGATCACCCGAGATAGAGCACGCCGCACCATTACCCTGACTCAGTCACACATGGTGCAGCAGGTCCTTCAGCGCTTCGGCTTCACGTACTCCTCGCCTCAGGCCACTCCTCTGCCTACTCGCCACTCGCTCTCAGCTCTGCCTTCGGATGAGTCCGTAGAGTCGAGTGGCCCGTATGCAGAGCTTGTTGGCTGCCTCATGTACCTGATGACCTGCACACGACCTGACCTTGCATACCCTCTTAGCATTCTTGCACGCTATGTTGCTCCTGGGAGACACCGACCAGAGCACATGGCTGCAGCGAAGAGGGTGTTGCGCTACTTGTGCAGTACGTCGGGCATGGGGCTAGTGCTTGGAGGGCGTAGTCCAGTGGTCCTCACTGGGCACGCGGACGCTTCTTGGGCTGACGACCAGGCTACGCAGCGGTCGTCACAGGGTTACACCTTCAGCCTTGGTTCCGGCTCTGTTTCGTGGCGGGCTACCCGCTCGTCTTCTGTTCTCGGCTCCAGTTGTGAGGCTGAGATCTACGCCGGGGCTATGGCTGCAGGAGTTACGCTGGCTCACCTACCTGTTGACCGACCTTGGAGAGCCGCCTCGTTCTCCTCCAGTCCTGTACGTAGACAACAAGGCCATGCTGGCCTTGTGTCGAGAGCAGCGACTGGAGCACAGGACAAAGCACATTGCTCTCCGCTACTTTCTTGCTCGTGAGCTACAGCAGCGTGGACAGTTGCGACTTGCGTACGTGGCCTCTGAGGCCAACACTGCTGATGTCTTCACCAAGGCACTTGCGCCTTGTGATCATCAGCGTTGCTGCACGCAGTTGGGTCTTGTGCCTGTCTTGCCTCACTTGCTCACTTCTTGACCTTGCTTGTACCTCGACCTATATATATACTCTTGCTCTTGCTTGCTTGACTCTTGTATATCTCTATATATGGTCTTGCATGTGAACTGGCCTTGTGGCCTTTGAACTTGTGCTCGGAATGTGTGGTGACTTTGTGATCCACCCTGAGCTTTGCTTTGTTTTACTTGACTGGTCTTGTGACCCCTTGTTCTCCCCCACTTTGCCTATGGGGGTGTGTCAGAATATTATGGCTTACTTATTTGTGTAGGCTATAGTGGGGTATCCCATAGGGGGTACAACCCAACTAGAGTTTCCTATTTGTACTCACTTCATTCATAGTCATTTCATTCTCGTTCTAACTTTCTCAGGAAGGAGGTTGGTGATGGCTGTGGGTGCCAATAGAGCTGTCAAAGAGTATAGACTGAAGTTTGTGGTGGCTATGCTTGCGCGCTGGTTGTATTCGGACGGCGTCAAGGACACACCAGAGGTTTAACAGATGGTGGTTGGCAGAAACAGTGAGAAGAGGTGCAACATACGAGAGAAACTTGGGCAGTTGAGTGCAATACTGGGGGTTGAGAAGTGTAGGGCTCGAGTTTTTGGTATTAAAGAAGATTAACAATAACGTGGTATCAATATAGGGTTTGAAGAAGGCGTGATTGGTAGTGTGCGCATATGGGAGAGCTGGAGTGAAGACTGATAGTGCAATTAACATCACGTTCATCATGACAGACATGATCGTACGCACACTAGTTGAGCATACAAAGGCTAAATGGGTGGGAGCTAAGGAACACAACAAGGAAGGTTCTAGTAATGGATCATAGCCGAGGCGCACATGCCGCTGCGCTAAGGACGGCCGCGAAGGAAGGCAGTCACCGGAGCCTTCTGCTGCAGCAGGGTGAGTGCGCGCCAAGGACCAAAGTCGTCCTTGGCTGCCGGGCGATGAGCGGAGGCCTTCACGCGGGTGGCGTGCAGGTAGGACTGGATATGCTCCATGGCGCTGTCGAGGGCAGCGCCGCAGGTGAAGTCGCAGAGAGCGCATGTCCAGTATTCGACCCAGTCGTCCAGCCCGATGTAGAGGAGGCCGGGGTCGTTGCGGAAGGCGGTCGGCGCGGCATGAGTCCCCAGAAGGTTGCCTGCAAGAGAGGGGGCGGTTGGGGGGAGGAGGGGGGAGCAGGGGGGGCGGGGGGGCAGACGGATGTGCAGGAATAAGGGGGGCAGGGAGAGTTGGAGGGGTGGGGCAGGTGAGGAAGGTGAGGGGGAGGACCGAGAGGGGGGGAACCAAGTGGGCTAAATGGCAGCGGGAGGAGGGGGGTGCGGGGAGGGGGGGAAGGCGCGGGGAAGGGGCGGGGGTGTTCGGGAGTCCGGTCAGGGGGGGAGAAGAGACCAGAGGGGGGTGGAGTGGCCTGCTTGAGAGCAATGTGGGAGAGACCAGGGGGAGGGGGCTGCTGGCAGAGGGGGGGAGCCACGTTGGGGGTCGGGCAGCCCAGTCAGAGCGCTGGGGACGGTTGCAGTTGGGTCCCTGAGAGGGTGGGGGGTGAAAAGAGTGAGGGGGGGTGGGGAAGGCGGGATTGAGGGTAGGGGGAAACGAGAGGAGGGGGATCGGGAGAGAGGGAGGGGAGGGGAGGAGTCGGGGTGTGGGGGAAGTAGGGGAGGGTGCTGTTAGAAACAGGGGGGAGAGAGAGGGGGAGGGGAGCGTCTCCGTGCCAGCGTGGGGGTGGGCAGCGGGGCCGTCCTCTGGGGAGACCTTGGGAGGGAAGGCGCCTAAAGTGGGGGGAGTGTTGGAAGGGAACAGGGCGAGGGGTTCCGTAAGAAAGTGCGGTCTGCGAGGGGGGGGGAGAGCAGGGGGAGAGTGCGGGTGGGGTGTGAGTGTGTGGGAGGGCCGGGGTCCGTCCTCAGAGGGGGAGGGGGGGGGGAGTGTTGTGGGGGGAGGGGTTGAAGTGGGTAGGGGCAGGGAGTGGGGGATCAAGGGTAGAGCAGAGGCTCCGGGACGCGGAGCTTGCATGGGGGGAGTGGGAGTATAGGGGAGTCATGAGGGTGGGCGGAGGCCCGACTGTAGGGGGGACAGAGGAGGGTACGTTGGTGGCAAGGGCTGAGCGTCCTGGGAGGGAAGGTTGCCGACAGGGGTTGGAGAGGGTAGGGAGGGAGGGGTGGTGTGGGGAGGGCGGGAGAGTGAGTAGGAGCCCCACGACATGGGGGGCCGGAGAAGGAAGCGCTGTGGGGGAGAGGTGGGTGACGAGGGTGAAGGCGGGGTGTGGGGGGGCACCTGGCGCGGGGGGAGGGATGGGAGGCGCGAAGGGAGTGGGTAGGGGCAGATTGAAAGTGGGGTTGGCAGGGGCCCAGGCGGCCGTACAGGGGGGTAAGCAACGAGGCAGTGGGTAAGGGGGGCTCTTAGGGAGAGAGGGACAGCAGGGGGTGGGCGCGGGGGTTGGAGGGGAATATTGAGGTTGTGGGGAAAGGGGAGGGTAGACCAAGGGGGAGGTGGTGACTGGATGGGGGGCAGCGGGGGGGCGACCGAGAGGGCATCGAAGGCGGGCTAAGGGCGTGCAATGACAGCGGAAAGGGAGGATGCTTGCGGATAAAATAAGAGCAACAGATTTCGTACCGTTTGCCTACTGCAGCTGAGCAATTGAGATCGTGTTCTTGTTCGTGAGGCGTCCGCGGCGGCGAGCAGCAAAAGCCTCGTGGTCCGATGCGCGATGGTTGTTACCGCACAGCGAGCACACGTGGCAGGAGAAATTGAGCAGCATAGCGGGCTTGTTCGACTCCAGCAGGATTTCGGATGGGATCCGTTCGAAGTTCGGATCATCGGGGGTGGCGACCAGGAGCCCTGCAAGGTGGGTGAAAAAGGTGTCTTCGTAGGGGTCAGAAGCACGGTGAAAATCAGTCGGGTCCGTGAGCGCGCCGTCCTCGTCGGTGGTCCCGAGGAGAGAGGCGCGGATATCCTCCGGATCAAACTCGAGGGGGACGTTTCGAATAGACAGGGTGGGAGCGCCGGCTACCTTTGCGGCGGTGAAGACTTTGAACCTGTCAACATAAACTTTCAGCATGACGGGGTGGGAGTTGGAGATTTTCAGCATGAGGGGAAAAAGCTTGCGGAAAGCCGCGGCATCTTCCCGCGACGGCCAAGAGAACAGCAGGCGGCCGTACACGCAACGGGCCACGCGGAGGGATTCGCCGACGGTGTGCTCGAAGGGGGGGATGATGCCCGAATCAAACATGAAGCCGCACAACTGCGCGTTGATCCCGGCGAGGAGTTCCGTGCGGTGCGACTCCAACACGGCCTCCGGGAGGAGGAGCGTGACTACCACGCGGCGGCGAAGGGGGAGGAGCATCGGGGTGGCCGTAGCAGTGCGCGCGCGGCGGAGGTTACGGGGGGATCCGCCAGGCGCAGGTGAGGCGAAGAGCGAGGCGGGCAGCGCGGGGGCCGGGTTGACGCTGTGGAGATTAACTCTACAACGGTAGTGAGCTAGACTACAGGGGTTGGCACGAACTACTAGAGGTGATCTTAGCTTTGCTTAGTTCCTTAGTGTTTGCACATTCACGGAAGAATTTGGCAAGAGTTTTCACTAGCAAAGTTGGAATTCCAGAATAATCAAGAAGCAATCACAACAATGACTACATCAGGCACCTAGCAACCCTGCAGCCAGCCTGGTCGACCGCCAGCGCAGCTCGGTCAACCGCCTGCCAGCATTGCGTAGAGGAGCCGCGCCAGCACTGCAGAAGGGCGACCTGCCAACAAAGCAGGTCGACGGCGTGCCCCGTAGAACACAGCAGTGCGCGCGCTCACAGGTGTGCGCAGACGATTGGCCCGACTTGCCTCGTTGGGCATCCGTCGGCTGTTTGTCTGCGCCTGACGAGCCACATCGACTTCGGGATACCAGCCCGAAGTCGCCTGCGCCATCGCGATCTCGACGACGTTCGCGTGCCTCCGCAGAACTCGTCGAGCAGGTTACCCGGTCGACCTGGTCGACCCCTGGTGCTCTGGTCGACTCCCAGGTGCCTCCCGTCGACCACTGGGTCCCTCTGGTCGACCACCGGGCGCTCCTGGTCGACCACACCTCCCGTCAAGCTACCCCTTGGTCGACGGACCCCTTCCGTCGACCAGAACTGCTCTGTCGACCTCCCGGTCGAACTGCAGTTTGACGGGATGCTCCGTTGTCCTCCCGGTCGAGCTGCAATTCGACGGGACGCTCCGTTGACCTCCCGGTCGAGCTGCAGTTCGACGGGATGCTCCATAGACCTCCCCGTCGAACTGTAGGTCGACGGACTGCTTCGTCGACCTCCCGGACGGCTCACCCGTCGCCCAGGCCAGTCAGGTGCAGCTGTCGAGCATCCTGGTCGACAGCAACACCACAGTGGTCCGCTGCAGCTCGACGTAACCTGTCGAGCAGCTATCCCACTGTGAGCAGCCGGCTGCTACTTCCGTACATCCGACCAAGTTGTCGGCGTTGCCCAAGCGAGGGCGGGGCCAACACTTCATTCCCGTTAACACTCCCCTGCCGCGCTCACGCTTGGGCCTCCAGCCCTCACGGCAGTACTCCACGGAGAGAACTCGTCCTCGGCGTGCACCCCACACACAGCACGCCGTCACCGCACCAGCCGTGCAGAAGGGCACGACACCTACTGCTGCACCTCGTCGTCGCCATCGCCGACGTCGACCAGACGAACTTGTCCGATGGCGACAGAGCACCGGTTGAAAGCCGGAAAATGCAGCGCCTTCGTCAGGAAATCCGCCGGCTGCTCGGTGGTCGGGATGTAGTTCAGCACAAATTTCTCGCGCTTCACCATGTGCTGCAGCCACGCGTAGCGTCGTTCCATGTGCTTGAGGTTGCCCGTTAGCCCCAAGCCCTCAGCGACAGTGATTGCCGACTTGTTGTCAACGCGGAGGATGGTCGGCTTCCCAGCATCGAGCAGCTTGAATTCCGCAAGGAGGAAGCGAAGTCGACGGCCCTCCTTGCCGGCATCCGTGGCCGCCACGTACTCCGACTCAGTCGATGATAATGTCGCGCACTTGATGCGCGAGCTCGACCAGGAGATGGCGGCCCCTCCATAGACGAACACGTAGCCTCCCGTGCTCGTCCGGTTCTGCTTGTCGCCCGCGTCGTCGGCATCGACGTAGCCGATCAGCTCCAACGATTCTGGTCCACCGCCGAACTCCAGGGCGGTGTCGCGGGTGTCGGCGAGGAAGGCGAGGCAACGGTCGACCTCACGCCAATGCTGGTCGCTCCTCACCGTGAGGCCGCTACCTAGCTTGCTGCAGGCGAATGCAATGTCCGGCCTCGTCGTCGTCGCCGCGAACTGCAGCGAGCCGACCTTCTGTCGGTACTCCTCCTCTTCGCGCTCCTGAGCCTCCTCGTCGTCGAATGTCAGCTGAGCGTAGGCGTCGACCGAGACCGGCGTCTTCGGGACTCGACCGCCCTGCTCCTCGTCGACGAAGCGCCTGCGCAGCTTGTCGGCGTAGCCCTGCTGGTGCAGCCACAACTTCCTGGCCGGCCTGTCGCGCACGATCTCCAGCCCAAGGTACTTCTCCACCGGCGAGATCTCACGCAGCTCGAAGGCGGCCTCCAGCAGCTCCTTCAGCTCCTGCAGCATCGCGGTGCTGCTGCTAGCGGCGAGCAGGTCGTCGACGTAGACCAAGACCCAACAGGTCACACCGTCGTCGCTAGTCTTGAAGTAGAGCGCCTCGTCGACCTGGCTCTTCTTCCAGCCAGCGCCCAGCAGCACACCATCAAGAGCCCTGTACCACAGCAGCGGCGATTGCTTCAGCCCGTAGAGGCTTTTCAGCAGCTTACACACCCGGCCGGTCCCGTCGTCGAAGTAGTCCGGCTGGTACATGTAGAGCACCCTGTCGAGCTTGCTCTGCAGAAAAGCGTTCTTCATGTCGAGCTGCATCAGGTTGAGGTCAAGGACGGCGACGATGCTGAGGAAGATCCTCAGCGTGACGTAGCTGCTCACCGGTGAGTACGTCTCGTCGTAGTCGGCGCCGTACACCTGCGTGAAGCCCTTTAGGACCAGCCTCGCCTTCTCGCGCTCGACGGTGTCGTTGATGTGGTACTTGGTCGTCAGCACCCATCGGTTCTTCATAATGTTCACCCCGCATGGGCGTTCGACCAGCTCCCAAGTCCCCATAGCGATGAGGCTACGGATTTCTTCTTCCATGGCGGCCTTCACCGCCTCGCCCTTCCAGCTCGACAGCGCCTCCTTCACCGTCATCGTGGCAATGTCCCAGCGGTGTTCGGGGTCAGCATGCACGTCGGGGTCGAGCTCCGACAGGTCTTCATCCTCCTCGGCATCGTCGTACAGCAAGTCGTCGTCGACCTCGTCGTACACCGTGGTGAAGGCAGCTGGCAGTAGGCAGGCGTGGAAGCTCAACCGCTCCGGCGGCCGTCGAGCTCGACCTGAGCGTCGCAGCTCAGGCTTCGTGATCGGCACTTCCATCACGTCGCTGTCGGTGGACTCCTCACCCGCCGACTGCTCCCCTTTCTCGTCGACGAGAACGTCATCGACCAGCTGCTTCGACCCTTCGACCGGCTGTTCGTCTGCTGCTGCCTTCGACAACTCTCCTGTCGGCCGATCCGACTGCTGCTCCCCTGTCGAGTGTACCCCTGTCGTTGCCTCCTGTTCGACCGGCTCCCCTGTCTGGTGCTCCCCTGTCGTCGACGGCTTCCCATCCTGGTCGACGAGCTTGGCGCCTTGTCGACCGCCGGCGATGCCATGGACCGGCGCCACAGGCGACGCCTCAAGGCTCCCCTCATCGACGGTGGGCGACACAGGTGCCGACCCAGGCCGATCTGCGACGGGGAACGGAGGAGCAAAGACAGGGGAAGGAGAAAGAGCCTCCACAACAGCCTCATCACCGGGTCCGTCGACTTCGGCGAGCAACGGAACCGGCGCTGTAGATGTATCCGTTGGCGGGTGCGCCTGCGTCCGCTGCGACGCCGGCCCATACTTCGCCTTCCACACCTCCAGCGACAGCGTCTCGTAGAAGATCACCTCGACCGACGTGACCACCTTGTTGTCGGTCAGGTCGAGCACTTCCCAGCCCTTGCTTGCTGGCGACACACCCAGGTGAAGTCCCCAGCGAGCCTTCGGCGCCAGCTTCCCACCACGCTGCTGCTCGGGAATCATGAACTGCACCATGCAGCCCCACACCCGCGCCAGCGTAAGGTCGGGCTTCTGCCCGGTTAGCAGCTGGTACGGAGTCGTCCCCGGCGGCGTCGTCGACCGCTCCAAGCAGTTGCGCACCCAGACAGCTTGTCGTAGAGCAAGGTGCCACCAATGGTGCTGCACGCCCATGTGCAGCAACATCGTCCGCACGGACTCGACGGTCGTGCGCATCTCCCGCTCAGCCATGCCATTCTGCTGCGGAGTGTAGGGGCACGTCAGGTCGTGGACGATGCCCTTCCCGTCGACGAAGTCGGTGAACGCCTTCCCGAGGAACTCCCCTCCTCGATCGGAGCGAAGCGACAGCACCGACTTCTTCGTCTGCCGTTCCACCAGCACTAGCCACCGTTGGAACTCCTGCAGCACATCGCTCTTCTTGGCGACCGGCATTGACCATACAAATCGAGTATGGCGATCCTTTAACAGCAGGAAGTACAGGCTGCCATCCTTGGCAGCCACTCGAAATGGCCCGCACAAGTCAATGTGCACGACAGCCAGCGCCTCCGCTGCATCCGAGCCCGTGGCAGGGAAGATGTGCCGCGCCAGCTTTCCTCCGATGCACGAGACACATGGCGGGTCTGCTCTGGTTGACAGCGTGATGTCGAGCCCAGCAGCAACATCATGCTTCGCCGAGCTCTTGATCGTGTCGACGCTGACGTGGGCAAGCCGCGCATGCATTCTATCGGGGGTCGTCTTCGTCGCCGAGACGATCGTCCGCAGAGCCACCACCTCGGTCGACTGCGACTGCTTCGAGCAGGGGCGAAGGTCGGTGCAGAGGACTCGTCCGGTGTAGCGTGCTCGACCGAGCACCTCTCCAGTCGCGGCGACGAGCAGCATCTCATCGCCATCGCCCTGCAGTAGCACGCCGCTCTCCTTCAGCTGGCCAGCAGACAACAGGTTCGCCTGAACACCCGGAACGTAGAGCACGTCGGGGATGAGCACCCGCTTCCCGGCCTCCCCTTGCAGAGCAACAGTTCCACGACCCTCGACAGATTGCAATGCCCCGTTGAACCCACGCACGTGCTTCACTCCATCGCTCGGACCCATGTCAACG